TCTAAAGCGATTGCCTACGAAGAAGACACGGATGGCGATGGGTATGGTAAAGGCGCTATCAGATGTCAGTAGAGCGCGCATACCATGCTGACCAGCACTTACACAAAAGCTGCTATGGCACCAATGGAGAACAACGCTCCAACAGCCAGCTCACCGCCAAATATGAGCAGCAGGCACAATATGCCGATTGCGCAATTGAACCAAACGGCATTTGCAGGTGTCTGCGTGTGTTTGTTGACCCTCTTCCAGTACTTGGATAACGGGAAGCAGTCATCACGCGCGTACGCGAATGTCACTCTGCTTGCCGCAATCATACATCCTTGACCCATGCTGAACCCTGCAATAATAGTGAGCGCAAGGATGGCCAGCGTCATCTTCTGCGACATGCATTGCATCAGGTAGGCAGCGAAGGGCTGCCCAAGCTCAGACTCGAGGACTAGGTCGATATCAACGACAGTGTATGCCACGACAAGCTGAAGGAACCAGCCAAAGAAGCCTCCAGTAGCGGATGTCAGAACAATAGCGCGCGGAGAAGCCAGGTTAGCGTTGGAGCATTCTTCCGCAAGATGGAATGGCGAGTCGTAGCCTGACATGGTCCAGATGACGCCGATAAAGGACATCAGGACTGATATACCAGCTGGGAAGGATGTGCCTTCATAGATTGTGCCCCAGACCTCGCTGGACGGGGCAAATCGGGGTAGACCGCGCTCTGTACGGTCTGTGCCAGCTGGGATCATTATGATGACCACAATCAGCGCAATGAAGTTGAATGTGGAACCAGCGGAGTTGAACTTTGCAAGCCAACGTGTCGGCATAGAGGAAAGGATCGCATGAAGAATCATGATGAAGACCGTCAATAGGAAAGTCTGATAATCCGTGGGGACGTAAGACGGGTCATTGATACTAGCCGCCGCCAGTATCATGGCCGCAATTCCATAATTGACTACTCAGACAGTCAATTCTATGTCCACACCCGTCGCGAACGAGATAGCGGTTTGTACTTGCCGGACGGTGCCGCCGTGATCTGGGCCAGCCAATTACTCCAGCCAGTAAGCCAAGCAGCAAAAGGTCCCCAACCAGGTGGTGCCAGGACAGCAGAAGCATAGTATAAACCTCCGCTCGTGGGCATGCTACTACACAGCTCCGCCATACTCATTGCCACACATTGAATACCAACCATGGCCACAATCCAGCCCCAAGTCATTCCAGCGGTTCCCGCATAGCCCATGCCATAGTAGAGCGTAGACGCGAAGCTAGGCAGTAGACCCAGAACCGCAAAACTGACACAGAAGGTGGTGAACAGCGAAAACTCTCTCTTGAACTCTGATTTGTATCCAAGGGCCGCTAGAACTTCTTCATCTGGATTGAGGGAATGCGTGGGATCGTAGGGTATGTCGCCATCTGGAAGCACCGATGTCACCGGTTCTTCCGCGACGGAGTGGTTCCGATGCTGGGGAGTCGTCATCGTTGCAACGCGAAATGCATGCGCGCGCCGTCGCAGTCGCAGTCGAGAAATAAGAAGAAGTCGCGATACGAAGTCTTACTCCAATAACACCGCAACGCATAGAAGCGCAGCATCTTGTCTATATACACCCACACCCCAGTCTGCATATCACCGCGCAGCAGGGTTGCAAGCGGGGTGTCACTACTCCAAGTGGGAGAGTACACGCGAAGCCATGCTGCAACGGTGTTTGGGTGCGGCGTCATAATCTCTTAGTAGGGGTGGTAGGCGTTCATCATTCGCTGCGCGAACGCCTATCTCTCTGCTCTTTATCAGTTGCGTGGTTCGGCGGTTCGGCTAGACTAACTTAGAGGGAGAGGTGTGGAGGAGATCGCGGGCTGCGACACGCCAGGGCACACGACACCCACGACAAAAAGGTGGCTTGTCAAGAGGTTGGGCAGCCGTATCCTCCGACCGCCATCTTTCTTGTGTTGTGCGATCCGTGCAGCGATGTCGTAGGAGGTACACAGAGGTATGGAGATGGGTGACCGCTTACATGAACGGATTAGTGTTGGCGATGGATAAGACACCTTTTGTGCTTCCAAGGTTTCAAGGTTTGTTCGGAAATATTCCGCCCGATATCTGCGACCGGGGACTGCATATTGAGGTACCGTGTCCTGGGATACCTCAACGCTGCGATACGGCTGGACATGCTTCAATTGGCATAGGCTTTCGTAGAATAGATTTGCCTGTCAGATTCCACGTGGCGTGGCAGGAGCGATAAGCTCACCGTCGATGTCACTCGTTGAGAGATGGCGAGACGCCTACGAGCTGCTTACCGTAGCTACATTATGAGGAGCGTGTAATGGACAAGTAAACATTGCTGGAATACCAGAAGGATTGATACGTATGCGCAGCTGCTTGCTTGCGTTGAAATACCTTGGTGCCCAGGTGAGTAGCACAGCATGGGCTCATGCCCCTTGATATCCCTGTTCGTCGATCCCATGGGTAATGTCTACCCCAAAAACATTGATGATTAAACATACATCCCCTGTTTGCTTAAACTGTGTGATGGAGATTGACCAAACGCTCGTTCCGGGCTGATCCTCTCCTCCATGTCGAACGAGGCCATGACCACCATGCAACTGCCTGTATTCCAAGGTTTGTATGAGCAGTCGCGTCTGTGCTAGAGTATACATGCCGAACTACCACTTTCTTTGAAAGTATTTCCAGTAATCTTCTTCGCTTAGAGTACCTCTCCAGATGTTCTACTCGGGAGGCGAGACTGCCCAGGTGTGCACTCAGGAGGGCCCGGGTCGATTCTGCGAGATCAGTGCAACTTTCAACTGGACGCCGGCGTGTAGCTTCTAGGCAATGTCCCTGCGTGGGATTTCGGTCCAACGATCCTATATTCTTACCTTTACATAGGTCTTTACAGCCATCCTATATCTTCCTTCCTCATGGTTGACCATGAGCACCTCTCAAAGTGAAAGAAATGGCCTCTCCAAACTGACACATGCGGCGCAACGGCACCGGTGCCAGGTACAAGAGTCACCGAACAAGCTGAGTCGGTCTTATGTGTGTTATATCGAATCTGCTCCGGGTTCGTACAGCTTACATGATGTGGGTCGGGCGTGAGGGTTGATCATTCAAGTCCCTCTTCATTGGCAAACGCGAAACCACTGACTCGGACCTCCGCGGGTGTGGCGAAACGACACATTCACGTGCAGTTCGCGCATCGCCGACAGAATGTCACCCTGGTGCTGCTTTGCCGAATCTGACAGTAGACATCGCTCAATGCCGACTGAAACTGCCCAGGTGAGTCTGAGCTTTCTTCTCGAAGGCTGAGTCTTCTAAGCCGCTGTTTCCAAGGTCGTGGTGTCGGGTCTTCCTTGTCTATATCGCGCAGGTGTTTCAATGTTTTCGACAGTTTCCGAAACTTGCATTCAATAACCTGACTGTTTGGCGATTGAACTTCAAGACCTTTGTGGGTGACATGTGTTTGCTGGTCAGTTTTCGCTGTCTTTCAATCGCAGAGATTGCGATTTGCATGACCAACAGCGGACGGTAGAACTCTACCAATTGTGGATGTGCTGAAGTCAATCATGTCTGTGTTCGAAAGAGACCCGGGTTTGGGGTACTCGGCGGAACGCTGCGACTTCCCTTCGCCCTCGTGCTTCTGAGGCGCCGACGCCGCTACACTACCTATGCACACCCATGACAGCACAGTCTCTTTCTAGAGCTATTTGTATCAGCGACAAGGCTCCTGGGAGTTTCTTGTCACTGCGCGATTTTCATTTCTCCTTGACTGAACGCCTGAAGCAAGGACGAAAATTATGCGAGTGTTGACCTCGGGACCAGTACAACTTACGGCTACGGCCCGCCAAAGGCGTCAAACTAAGCGTGCCGGGACACCCGATGTCACTCACGCAAGCTGACGGGCACCGCCAAACTTTCCTCAACGCCTTCAATTTGCGCTGCGATGTTACCGATATCTTTTGCGAGTCAGAATTCCAGTGACACTGGCAACAGCTGTATAGCATACCTACGATATTGCTCGCCTGAAGTCGCAGTTTGCAACACTACCAGGCATGAAATCACCGAGGCAGCGCCGGGAAACCCATTGCGCATTGGACGCATTTGATTTGCTGTGACATTTCTTCTTGAACCGTACCACGAATCGTCGCGAAATGTTTCCGGTCAGCAGCCAACATCGCCATATTGCCGCGGCCTTCGAATTGGACGCGCCTCTCTGACACCTGGGCAGCCTCAACCCAGGTCTGAGTCGTCAAACTCGTCATCCAATTGGCGCTACCGCGAGTCCCACAAGTGTCGAAGCTGGACCAGGGACGTCCGTCTTTAGTCGATTGTGCAGATCATCGAGGATGCACAGCTCCATTGAAAGTGGCGCTTGCGACACTTTTAGATGCCTAGTCTGATATCTTGGGGTCCGGGGGTCCGCGATTTCTGAGCGCTGTCTCCTCAATCCGAATACTTCCACTGAAACACTGCGCGACCACCCCAGGGCATCCATCCACAGCGCCACCCCGGAACAGTCCAACCAAGCAACATCCCAGAGCACCTATCAAATTGTCAATGAAGCATTTTGTGACGGAAAGCCGCCGACATCACAGAGAAATGCCGAGTGATTGCTGAGTTCACACCCGGTCTTCACAACATAGCGCCTGTGGTCACAACAAGGCTGCTGACCGGGCGCTCGGCAGTTCTTCATCGACTTACTCTGTTTCCCAACGCACCGTGGTCCCTATCGCATCGATAGATTTCCCCTGATATTTACGACAACTTTTGATCAACACCCACTAAAGCCCTGAGCAACCAACTCCGAGACTACTCGTCGTCTACTGGCCCGGCCTTTGAACGTTCCCACAACCTCGGCTCGCGAGCCAACCAGTTATCCATGGCCGGAGTTCTTGAGCCTGAGGCTGGAATTTTCTACGGCGTGTGCTGGATCGTCGTCATCATCCGCCTTATATCACGAAGAATACATCGTGGATCATGGAAATTATTGCAATTAGATGATTACTTAATACTTGTAGCCATGGTTTGTGATCCGCAGCATCGAACAACTGCAAGTACTGATTGGTGACACAAGGCTACCGACACAGTGCTGATTGCTATCATGCACGAAGTCACAAAGACTAGCAGTACGTCTTTCCATGTGCAAACTGCAAGAGAGACACACGCTGACTCTATACCGGTATATAGGCAACCTAATACCGCCTGGAGACGACGTCTCTCAATATTCAGATGCCGAAATCAAGATGCGTATATACGGATCCAAGCTGGTCTTGGTAGTAGAACAGATGCAACTCCTCACCATATGGCTGGTCAAGGCATGCCTGCTCATTATGTACAACCGTATGACGATGGTCCTCCCGCAACACAAGATCGTCATCGCCACCTCCATATATGTCGCTGTCGCATTTGTGGTCATGGAAATATTGTACCTTGGGGTTTGGTGTCGGCCGTTCTCGCAATACTGGGCAGTACCGCCGAATTCGAGTAAGTGCCTTTGCAACATCTAATCTCACGATACTGACGATACCAGAACAATGCTCGGCAGCGACAAATCATCTCATCACAAACGCCGTCTTCAATATTTCCAGTGATCTAATCATCATAAGCATACCCATGCCGTTGCTCTTCAAAGTACGCCTACCGAAGAAGAACAAAACGATCCTTTTCGTGATCTTCTGTATAGGTGCGTTCACCATCGTCGCAGCAGTCCTCAACAAGTACTACTCGTTCACAAATCCCTTTGGAACTGAGTGGACGATCTGGTACCTTCGAGAGTCATATACAGCGATACTCTGCGCGAATCTGCCCTTGACCTATCCGCTTATACAACGGGTTCTCGGTCTAAGAAACTGGAGCTCCAACACATACACTGCGGAGAACACATACGGGGCCAATACCGTCACACGCGCGACGCAGTCTGCACACACGCGCGCCTATTGGCCGGAACCTAGAGCGGAACCGATACCTAGAGGCTTCCGTGATATTTTCAGGCGGACGGAGAGTCAAGAAGACATGAATGGCGGTCTTGGGAAGCAAAGGGAGGACCAGGATCCACAATTTATCACCAGCGCGATCGAAATGGAGGACGCGAGGTCACTACGAGTGTCGAGCGTGAGTAATCCTGCCAGTTGGAGAACGTCCGCAACGACGGAGGGCCACAAGGATCAGGAGATTTTCCATGCCGTATGAATGAATACACGAGTTCTTATCAACACAACAGGCTACACTTCCGCTCACACATGCGCGTAATTGCTACTTTCCAGAAAAGCTATGATTGAACATGTGTTCGAATTGACTTGAGCCTCTGGCATCGGTCCCTCTTTGTACGTGGAGTCGTGTTCTCGTCATCGTGTGCCTTTAGCACCATGATGGATGCACCCAATTTGGAACGCTAGCCATCAGGTACTCACATGGGCACAAGACACTCGAAGTATCTCGACATTTCATAATACATACGCTCTTCAGTAAACTCCCAAGCCTTTACTCCCAGATTGCAACACAATGCACATCCACGACGTACTCATCATCGGTGGAGGCCCGGCTGGTCTAGCAGTAGCAGCACGGCTCCGTGAACAGACACCCTCGGCAACCTTCACAGATGATGAACATCAACGTTACCACTGGATTCGTAAACATGGTCGGAAAATGAACATCAAAAACTACCGGACGAACAAGGACTCACTACCAACCCCACCGTCAACACCCGGGAACTCAGACTGTGGCTGCGACCATGAGGTAGCACCCGAAGAAGCGATAGATATGCTAGTGCTTGACGCCGATGGCGCGGACTGGATGTCAAAGTGGAAGCGCCTCTTCAAAACTTTTCACATTGACTACCTTCGGAGTCCGATGTTCTTCCATGTCGATCCTGCTGATCGAGATGCATTGCTCGGGTATACGTACGAGAAAGAGAGAGACAAAGACATCCAAGCACTACCTGGAGTTGCCGGGAAGGAAGTGAGCAAGCACAAAAAGAAGAAGAACCTGAAGTCGCAAGGAAGGTTTTTGAGCCGCACGCCAGACGTCGATGAAAGGGACCGAAAGGACTACTTTGTACCACGTACCGATTTGTTCGACGCTCACTGTGAAGAGGTCATCAAGAGATATCGGCTTGGCAAGGACGTATTGAGGAAAGAGAGCGTCGTGAACATCGAATACGACAATATCTCAAAGTTCGATGAAGCGGATCTAGATAGTGTCGTGTCAGATGATGCGATGGCGGACGAGAGAAAAGTCTTCCGCGTCTCCACAGACCAAGGCGTGCGTTTCGCCCACCTCGTGGTTTTGGCTGTCGGTCCTGGAAATGCGCCCTCGATACCTCCTGTCCCTGGTCTACCAGCTCAACGTCCACACGAAGGTTTCGCGCACGCGATGCAGATTAAGCAGTTCCCACCACACCATGTAATGGCCAAAGTCAAGGCTCGCCAGTCGACCAGCATGCTCATTGTTGGTGGCGGCTTGACAAGCATTCAGCTGGCAGATCTAGCAATCAAGCGAGGCGTGAACAAAGTATGGATGCTCATGCGCGGTCCGCTCAAGGTCAAGCACTTTGACGTGGACCTAGAGTGGGTGGGCAAGTTTCGGAATTTCAAGCAAGCCGAGTTCTGGACGGCAGATACTGATGAAGGTATATCAACGCTCCTACTTGATAATCACATCTAACAGTCGGTCATAGAGCGCTTTGAGATGATAGTGCAAGCCCGGAACGGAGGAAGTATGACGCCGCGGTACCGGAAAATTCTTGATACGCATGTCGCACACGGGAAGATCGAGCTTAAGACCTATACTCAACTCCAGTCCGTATCGTGGGACCAAAGCTCGAAAACATGGGCCTGCGAAGCCGCGTCCACAGATTCGGAGCCCAAACTGCCGTCTATCGACTACATGGTCTTTGCCACTGGCATTCAGTCAGACATCCGTACCATCCCCTACCTTCAGAACATCCAACAAGAGTATCCTATCAAGTACGTTGGCGGTCTGCCATGCTTGAATGAAGACTTGATGTGGGACGATGAAGTTCCTCTGTTCGTGACAGGACGACTGGCCGGATTGAGACTTGGCCCTGGCGCGCCGAATCTGGTTGGCGCAAGAGTAGGCGCTGAGCGAATCGCTTGGAATGTGGACGATGCTTTAAAGAAACTGGGGAAGCTGAATAGCAGAGCGCAGGATGAAAGCGATGATAACAGTGGCGACGAGAAGATGGCGGCTTATGCTGCAGCGAGGGATAACCGGTTCGATAGTTTGTTCGAGTTGGATGATGCGGCAGCGTAGTCACAGTAGGCGAATCGGGCTTGTAGTCAATGAAATATCAGTTTTCAAATGGGTTTGTACTTTTGAGTCCAGTAATCTCCGGTATCGCGTGTGTTCAAAAGGTCGGGTCCACGGGCTCCCGTCCAGGAGCGATGAGAAGGCCCGCTGACGTCATGCACCACACGATACAGTTTTGACTACCTCAGGAGCCTGGATATGCGCGAGAAGTGCGCAAGAATGCAAATTGAGTTTTGAAGTAGCCTCCCCCATGGCCGTGATATCATTCGGTTCGGCGCGTCGCTTTCGTGTTCCATGGTCGATGCCGCTGAGGACACCCGGAACGGAACCGCTTCGGCTATATCTGCATCTTTTCTGTCCACCATCCCGAGGTCACTCTCATCACAACATCATCTTTATCCCTATTTTCCTAGACGCAAATGGTTTCAGGCGGCGATGTAAGCTCACGCGCAATGTGTAAAGTTCAAGTTTAACAGTTCAAAGGACAAGAACACACCTGCGGTAGTCTCTCTGGCCGCCGGCGGCATAGCTGGCGGTGTGGAAGGCTTTCTTTCGGTACGTCCAAAGAGGCATTCCGGCTCAGATCCCGTGACTCACACCACTCGCAGTATCCTCTAGAGTTTGCGAAAACGCGTGTGCAATTAAGAGCTGAGAAGGGCGTGCCGACGCCGCGAAATCCCTTCCTAGTCGTGACCCAAGTCTATCAGAATGAAGGCATTAGAGCGCTATACAAAGGCTGCGGAGCGCTGGTCTTTGGCTCAGTAGGCAAAGACGCCGTCCGCTTTCTCTTCTTCGACCAGATCAAGTCGTCTTTTGCAGACCCAGAGACGGGAACGCTCTCCCCTTTGCGCAATTTGTTGGCCGGCATGACTGCGGGAGTAATCGCGTCGATCACCGCAGTTACACCCACAGAGCGCATCAAGACTGCCCTCATCGACGATGCCAGGAACGAAAAGCGCTTTCGGTCCGGTTTCCACGCTACAACCACCATCTGGAAGGAACACGGTATCCTCGGGTTATACCGCGGGTTCGCAGGCACTACCCTGAAACAAGCATCAGCAACCGCTTTCAGAATGGGGACCTACAACATCCTCAAGGATTATGAGAAGGCCAAGAATATCGAACAAAATACGCTGGTGAACTTCGCAAACGGATCAGTAGCAGGCGTTGTGACAACGCTTGCAACGCAGCCTTTTGACGTTATTAAGACACGTTCACAGAGTGCGAAAGGCACGAGTACTGCCGAGGCTGTAAAGAGTGTTTTGTTGGATTACGGGATCAAGGGTTTTTGGAAAGGCACGACGATGAGGTTGGGTCGCACAGTGTTTAGTGGAGGTATTCTATTCACAAGCTACGAGGCTGCTGTGAAGATCATTCTGCCGTTATATCCTGGCACAAAGCAGGCTGAGTAATCCTAGACGCAAAGACATCTAAAATATCGCATACCTACTCAACCAGTTCAGCCAAGTGCCGGGCCTGGCGCTCATGCCTTTCCGTCATATTCGTCGATAACGCTAATAGGCTTCACAAACTTGCCCAAAGGCTTGTACTCCAGATGATCTAGCCCAAATGCCTTCGGGCCTCCAATCTCAATACCCTTCGGACTAGTCCAACGCTCACTCGCAGTGATACCGATCACCGAGACTAACAGTCCGTACCGATACTCTGGCGTTCCGATAGCCTCGCCATTTTGCGCATCAATGACCGCGATAAGGTCGGGAACGATAGCCAGAACATCTTCGTTCTTTTCCTCTCCAGTCGTGCTTTCTCCACTATCTGGTATCCGTATTGCAGCAATGTTCTCGTTCTTAAACGGTATCTTGATCTTGCCCTGGTACTCGCTTCCCGTAGCTTCTATGATCACCTCGCCGTACACATGGCCCATGTATAGCTTGCGCTCTACACCGACAATCTTGCCCTTGAAAAGCGCACGGCCTGTTTCAGAACCTCCAACCGCATCGATGATTGATTGCGCGACGTTGTCAATTCTGTTCTCTTTTCGGGCGCGTGCTACTTCTCTCCCTATCCTCCACGATAGCGAGATCGTGTGTTCAACGGCCCAACGTCTTGTTTCAGCGCCTGTAACCGGGGCATCAGCTGTTCCGACGGAGCTACCCATCTGGCTCAATGCTGCTCTGATGACCTGTTCGACTTTGAGGTCACTCGTTGCGGTCGGCATGTATAGTGTGTTGCCGTTACCATCGGCCACCGCGACAGGCGCGAACACGATTTCTCGCTCGCCGAAGACGACCGGGGTTGTCTGCCACTTTGTTGGATATGCTCGGCCCATCCAGTCACCGTCTACACATGGCACATTCATGTTAGTTGATGCACCCAATACGAGACCCTGCAAGCCGTTCGAGCCGCCGATTTCGAGAGGGATGATGTGCGTCGCGTAACCACCCTTGATGAGATCGTAGAGGTGATTCTGAGCATCCATCATTCTGAATGAAGGTTAGCAGAGACATGGCGTGATGCCAATACATGACTTACTCATCAGCGGACAGCTTCTCGATGCCGACAGTTGGGCTACCAGCACCGCCACCACTTCCCACTCGCGCATCATCTTTGAGATCATCTGGGCTGACAACGCGAACTTTCCCACCAGACCGTAGGATACCACGCACTCTGAGCATGGTAGAGTAAGGAGAACCTCCGCCGCCAGTACCGAGTATGTAGCAGCCGATGGTGATCCAGTCGAGATCGGTCTCAGATATCCACCACTCTCGGTTGGCTACTTTGGGCTTATACGCAACGATGTCAACCTCCGTTGCTGCATCAACTTCGCTAGAAGCCTCTTCGGTCGAAGGTGCTGCGATGGCATCGCCCGTACCCTTTGACCCAGTCTCTACGTTGCCTCCTTCCTGGTTGACGTTCAGATCTATGAAATCTCCAGCTCGTGAGAAGTCAAAGTCTCCCGCAGCTCTGACCATAAACCGTGTTTTGTGGGCTACGTATTGTAATGGTAGATCCTCCACTTCGACGATAGAGACCGTCTCCGCTGATGCACCTGCTTCGATGGTCTTCCGTTTGGCCTCCTCGCATATTTCAGCTAGTAGTTCTTTCTGCGTCTGCTTCTCCGTAGACTTGACCGTGTCGACTACGGCACTCACTCGCGCCATTGCAGCACCAATAGCGTTAGCTACACCGGACCATTGAGGCTTGATTACTCTGCTTGCTCCCTTCAACTCGTCGGGAGCTATGACTGCACCACCACCGACAAGCAGGACGGGAAGATCATCAGGTGATGTCTTCATCTTGTCAATGATTGATTCAAGCATCTTTGTCGTCTCAACTTTGAAGGCTTGGATGTCATCGTCTTGCAGCTTCCCTTGTACTTTTTCCGGCTGACCAATCGCAACCTCGGATGAAGCCGCGACGGTATAGTCAGTCGCTGTTGGAACGTCACCACCGAAGACGAGCGCCTTTTCTGGTAGCTTATAACCCACAGACTCAGGCCCTACTTGCATCTTCTCTCCAACTCTTCTCACCAAGCTACCGCCTCCTAATCCTATGCTCTTCACATCGGGATACGAGAAGTTCATCCTCACACCAGAAAGCTCTGAGTACGCGGCCTGTTGCCTGGGAAAGCCGTTTGCGAGCAACAAGCCCACGTCGGTGGTAGTTCCACCGACATCCACAACCATCATTGCTTCGCCGTTCTCTTGCCTTCCGACAAGAAAAGCAGCACCACGCATACTGTTCGTTGGGCCGGATGAGAAGGTTCGGATTGGTAGTCGGCTTGCGGCTTCGCCACTCAGTATCGTGCCGTCGTTTTGAGTAATGAAAACAGGGCAGTTTAGTCCGAGTTCCTTGATTGGTGTCTGGAATGATGCTATCGTCTTCCTGGCGAATGACAGAATCGAGGCGTTGAGTATCGCAGCGTTCTCTCGCTCTAGAAATCCGAGGTTTGCGACCGTCTTGCTAAGAACGATATCGACACCATCCCCTAGCTCACGCCGAATGATGGCCGCAGCACGCTCTTCTTGCTTCTCTACTGTGTCGATAGGACTGAAGACGCCGTTCACGACTATACTTTTGATTCCCTTCTCTTTGATAATCCTGCATTGCTCTACTATCTCATGCTCTTTGATGTCGGAGATCAGGTTTCCATCCACCTCTAGCCCTCCTTTGATGAGCGCATAGTGCCCAAGGATGATGTTACGCAGAGAAGCTGGCCAGTCCACACATGGCGGCGCATGTTTGCTGAAAGACCCAGAAAGACGGAGGACGGCGACTTGAGAAAGACGTGTTCGGTCGCGGGTTACGACCGCGTTGACAAAGTGGGTCGTTCCGATTGTCACACTCGCAACGGACGATGGATCGACTGAGGCGGACTTGAACATCGTGGTGATGGCGTCGGCGATGCCATGGCTTGGGTCGGTAGTAGTGGGTGCCTTGTGCCTGAGTTATGGTATGAGCTCGCGTTCTCATCAGGGGTGATCGACTTCCGGTAGGCATCATCGTGGGTGTTCTTTGGATCTTATGAGGGAGTGGGCTAAGCGAGAAAGCGTGGTGTTCAACGTATGGATATAGGACTCGTACCAAGCAACAATTCCTCGATCATCTTCACTTGATCTTATAGGATCAATGATGACTCCGTCAGTGTTGGTTCTATGCACAGTATTAGCCTCATGGCTGTCGTAGTCCTGATGTACAGTACGTACCCACCGACGTCAACGCCTATTCGCAGATTCTTCCCTGTCGTCATGATAGCCGTGGATGCTTCCAAGATGAAAGCCTCTTCTGATCGAAATGGAGTTGGCTGGTCATGATGCGTCCAGAATCCATCTGATAAGATTTCGATTGGTGGGGCGAGCTAGCTCCGGGTTTCGGACGTTCGCGCCCCAAGCCGCCTTCCTACTTTATCGCTCACCCATACCCCACTTTTGGAGTTACATCCTACTCCAATTCTATACCCCGTCATCAACAGCTTGCCCATTGGTAGCAGCAGAGCTTGAGATGGGATTTCTTCGGCGCTGATCACTGCGCTCGGATGATCAGATAAGATAGGCGCAAATACCCCTCTTTCTAACGGCGGATAAGGTGTTCTTCCCGCGTGTGCTGCATCGTCGCCCCCGTCGGCGCATTATCATCTTCACTAAACTTGGGTCGGCGTTAGATCAGCTAGATTGGGGTGACTCCGAGCGCGGTTGATAACAAGGGTAGCAACACTAAGATGGTGGAAAGAGCTCACCACTGGCGTTCGTCGCAATTACTTCTCTCCCAGCCTCCTTGACTAGCGACGCGTCCCTTGGTTCGCGTTCATCATGACTTTGAGACAGCGCTTGAGGAATATCGATGAGAAAGTACGTCTCCGTGGAGACGATGCGAAGCATGAGCAAACAGATGCATGGAGCAACCGCGATTTGATCCCCCTCCCGCCAGAGCGCAGGACATGGGGCTGGTTCAATTTCTTCGGGTTTTGGGCGATTTCATCGCTGAACCTCGCAAACTGGCAAACACCAAGTACCTTCTTGAGTAAGCTACACCACCTGACTCTTGTCGCTCTCGATCGCTGATATCACCGAAGCTATGGGTTTATCCGTCTCACAATCTATCCTTATCATCGTTGTGAGCTGCCTGTTAATCGCTTTCTTCTCCACACTTATTGCTTGGGTTGGGTTGAAGTGGCATATTGGCTTCACAGTGCAGAATAGGTATAGTTGGGGTATGCGCGGAAGCTTTATACCTTTGTCGCAAAGAATCTTGCTCAACTTCATTTGGAACGCCGTTCAATGTAAGTTGGAGTACTGTAAGGATAAGCCTGGTACTATGATGCTAACCTAAACCAGGCTGGAATGGTGGCCGTCTAGTCGCTGTATGCTTGACCGCAATCTGGCCTTCGTATGCCCGTATGCCGAATACTTTTAGCCCCAACTTCCCTGCTACAACCGACCAGTTTGTGGGATTCGTAGTCTTCTGGTTCATATCGACACCTTTCTTGTGGCTGCGACCGGAGAAGTTTAAGATACCGTTCCTTATAGTCTGCCTCTGGTGCGGCATCGGAATGTTAGCATGGATGATCTGGGCAGTGACGACTGCTAAAGGTGTAGGCCCTCTATGGAATGCTGGCGAAAACATTCCCTCGGGTTCCACTTGGGGTACCTCGTGGCTCATCATGGCTGGCATCAATCAGAGTCTTGGCGGTATTGCTGCGGGTATCACAAACGGCAGCGACTTCTCACGCTATTCACGTGGAAGAACACCCTATATGGTCGGCACTATCACTAGCTGTGTCATCACCAGCGTCATCGTCTCCCTAGTTGGTCTTGTTACAACTGCGTCGGGACAAAAGTTGTACGGAGAGATCTATTGGAACCCACCGGATCTACTCATGCGCATGATGGACAACGGCAACGGCTCATCGAAGGCACGTGCGGGGGTGTTCTTCCTAGCTGCAGGTTTCGCATTTACCGCAATGTTCGAGAACATTTGCGGGAATGCTGTCTCTGGTGGTATCGATCTTGCTGGTCTTTTTCCACGTTACATCAACATACGACGTGGTGCCATCATTACGTTTGTGGCGGCATGGGTCGTCCAACCCTGGCAACTCATCAACCGTGCCACTACATTTATCGCCGTACTGTCTTCCTTCTCGGTGTTTCTAGCACCAATCATCGGCATAATGGCATGCGACTACTTCCTCTTGCGAAAGAGAAGGATCCGCTTGAGTCATTTATATCGAACTGAAAACTCGTCGTATTGGTTCACCAAAGGTTTCAACTGGCGGGCGATACCCTCATGGCTATGCGGGTGGATCCCGACGATTGGGGGTCTTATAGTGACAGTAAGAGGAGATGTAGATCCACCACGGGCTTTGGTACAGCTCTACAATATGGCCTTCTTCATAGGTGAGTAAATTGTTTCACAACATTGGAAATTGAAGGGCCACTGACACCTTGCTAGGATTCTTCATCAGCGCTTTCGTCTTCTATGTCCTCAACAAGATCTTCCCAGTTCTAGATATGGACCAGATCGATCCTATCGATCTATATGGTACCTTCACAGAAGCGGAGGCAAAGCGAGCTGGTGTAGCTCCGCTAGACGACAGCCCTATTCTCAGAGGGGTATCTGGGCGAAGATCGACCGAGCATGTTGTCATTCATGCAGAGAAGGATGTGTGAGTGGGGTTAACACATAGATTAGAACCATGTAGAATTCGTCACATGGAGGCTTGCAAGGTAGGCTCGGCCAATCATTTGACGTTTCACAGCCTAGCCACGCCGCAATACTGCATAAACATCGCCCAAAGAGCTATCGAGGACTTATAGGCTTTGGCTAGATGGCGGGGCTGAGCACAAGAGGGATGCACCACAAGAAGTACCTGTTACCTTGGAATTTGTCGCGCATGTTCTTCGTTTCGTTGCTTCGCTCTCACCTACGCTACCAGCTCGGTACATCTACACTATTGATCCTGGTCTGAGCTCTAACACCACAGATCGCAATGGCTCATCGCCGACATGATAGCGCAATGTCTCAAACGGACATACCGCTGATACCCCATGCAAGCGATGGCGGCGCTGCATCTGCTCTGCAATCACTGACAGCTAATTCTGGGCACAACACTAACTTCCGAACACTTGCAAAATCTCATTGGCTCACTCCGACAAACATGTTGGCTTCTTACTTCTTCGGCATTGCTCTCGCAGTAGGACATCATCGATATTACACAGCGCTGGATGGTGATGTGATAGGCTCGACAGGACGACAGCAGTGGTCATTACGGTATGTACCAAGACATACGCCCACGTTCATGACTGACACTTGTAAGATTCGGTAACGCTTTCGCAATCAGCATCGCTCTGAGCCTCAAGATCGCCGTCGGCATCGCATACACGCAGTATGTATGGATGCGTCTCCGGAAGCGATCGATAAGTTTGAGATCTATCGACGACTCTTTCGATATTTCGAGAAACTTATCCGCTTTCTTCAACCTTGAAGTCATCCGGAAGCTGCACGTAGGGCTCATGGTTGCACTCATACTATGGTAAGTGATAGACGCACCGTTGGGTGCTTATTACTGACGGTGCGTAGGTGTCTACCATTACCAACACTGTTTGCTCCCCCAACATTATCAGTCGAGACAAGAACAACGCAATCACACTCTTTAGAACAAACGCTAACAGCGGACGTTAACAATCTCAACATGTCAGACGCGTTCATACTCAGGCAATCTGCGAATCGTCCTTGGATTACGGGTCCTTCAGCTCGGCTTGGACGAATCGTCAGCGCAGTCATATATTCCGGTGGCCGTCTTCCATTCGAAACACCTTATTCGCATCTAAACACGTCTTACGAGACAGAAGCCTATTTGCCGGTACTAAAATGCACGGCAGCAAACAGCACCGTTCACAACGACATACTGCGGTTTGCCAATGAGACAAGAGTCGCTGCAGCGAACAACTTGACCACCGATAGTCTAAAGTGGATGAACTCTGACATTCCTTCCGGCGGGGAGATTGGATACCTCGGACTCTCATATCCAAACACTCTAGGAGAATCTACATCGGGTCTGAACTGGAACAATACTGAGCAAACCGCCAATGAGTTTGCTTTTGCTATCCAGAAACGTCCAACCAATGTAGCGTATCAGTCTGATACCGAGTATTTGTTGTGCGAAGTGTGGAACGCTACCGTATCCTACACCGTCAATACCCGCAACAGTATAGTCAGCATTGGAAACGTCCATTGGGAGTTGCTCAACAAGTTCGATCCGCAGAGTGCCATCCCCATCAACGAACTTGGGCCAGCCTCCGGCTCTCCCGCCTATTCTGGATATACTATAGGCCTAGCGAATTATTTGCTTGGGTATGTCGCCTGGCGCAGAGATAACTCCCGTACTAAGCTGGATTCTACTGGTCCACTGGACACGACATCCCTCTCTACAGGTTCGCAGTTTTACAACATGACACGCAACATGAACGAGGCAATTGAGGCTGTCAACACTCTCCAAAATCCGTCAAGCGTTCGGGATATCTCATTCCGTGAGGACGTCGAGGCGTTTGCGCTAAATGTGTCTTTGAGCATGATCAACGATGATTCGCTTTGGTAAGCTACCATTCCATGATGTGTTCGAGTGCTAACGCAGCGGAACAAAGTACCAAAGTCCCTGTCAATGTCACTACATTCACCTCTGCGGTCGTCTACGCCTATAACCCGCAGAACCTCCTCCTCTCATACGGACTGGCCATTCTGGGCAGCACCATCGCCATTGCCTTTGGACTGTTTGCGATGTGGAAGAACGGTGCATGCTATGATAATCGAATGTCTACTTTCGGCACAGCAATGCAAGGTTTTGATGTAAGTGTGAATGGAAAAGATATACCCGGTCAATAGCTCACAGCAAGCCAGGTCAAAGAGGTGTTTGAAGATTCTAAAACACGGGCGGCACAACCGCTAAGAGGTCAAGCTGCGAAGACAAAGCTGATGTTCGATGCGGAAGAAGGTTTTGTACTCGGCCACCGCAAGAGGGCCAGCGAAGGCTCAAGTATCGGCACGCCTGTAAGAGAAGACGGTTTCGTACTCGGCCACCGCAAACGGCCCAGCGAAGGCTCAAGTGTTGGCACGCCTATAATAGAAGAAGGTTTCGTACTCGGCCACCGCAAGCGGGCCAGCGAAGGCTCAAATATCGGCACGCTTATAAGAGAATGAGGCCTGGGTAATCGGCACGCAACGTACACATACGGCGATTACACGGTTCCGATGCATTTGAGATGCTTATATAATTGTATTTTCGTACAGGAAGCTCCGCTGATCAGCGTGGGAAGTATCAGCTAGACCAGATCTCATACATCTAATTAATCTCCGAAGCCTTCACAACGGTACCAAACATATCATCAATCTCCGTCAGCGCAACCTTCTTGACCTGCGCAGCCGGAATATCCTTCATATCACGCTGCCCAACGCCGTCTTCCACAACAAGAGCCTCGTAGCCCAAAGTAGTCGCTTCGCGAGCGGTACTCGACACACAGCCATGTACCATGTACCCCGTAAGAACAAGTTTCTTGAGTCCAGTCTTCTTAACAACCTCTGCTAGATCTGTCTCCGAGAAAGATCCAGCGTGCTTCTTCCACACGATAGATTCGCCGTCGATAGCTTCGATGCCGTCCATTTCCTTGGTGAGCTTGCCGTTGGGCTTGAAGATGGCCGCTTCGTCGTCGCCCGTGTTGTGCAGCACGTGGACGACGTGGCCGTTTTGCTTTCGGTATTTGTCGAGGAGGCTTGAAATGGCGACGTTGACCTCCTTGTAGTCTTGAGCAGGTAGGCTACCATAGATGTATTCGTCTTGAGCGTCGATGATGACGAGAACGGAGTCCTTGACCGACGCTGTTGAGTTGGGGACTCCGATGACCGAGCGAAGAGAGGGAGTTGACATCTTGGAAGGCTGGTTTTGGGTGATTGGGAAGTTGAGGAGTAGATGGTGTATATAGAAATGATCAATCGTCAGGCAGTTGATTGAAGCGTCGAGGGTGATGGATGTGTTGGTTGTCCATTTCTGCAAATACGTCGACCTTTATACCGTCGACTGACAGCCGCTGCGAGATTCTCGTACATTCGTCCGTCACATTCCAAGACCAAGATTCTGATCTGATATCGTAAGCCAGCGTTATGTTTCCTTAATTGTTCGGACCGTGCTGTTTGGTGAGCTAGCAAAGAAATAATGTTACCCCATACGGTTAGCCGGTTTTCTGTGGACTGATCACTAACCAGAGCCTCTTACTAAGGCGGACACGTCTTGTGCGAACATCACTTCCTGTGCCTCAACACCTGTCACATCGTATAGTGTGCGATTCAGCCCCTCTAGTCCAGCAACACTCAGTCTCCCCCCCACAGCTTTCGCACGCTTTTGGCTCGCTCTGGGTGTTGTTCATCTCGTCGGGCAGGGTATGTCGCGGAATGGTCAGACGCTTTACCTCGTCGGGCTTCTCAAGCTACTGCGGTGAAGGCCAATGATGAGTAGACTCGTGGTGATGGAGTACGGATAGCCACGAAAGAAATCGGTGCTCTTTCGGTCGCTGCAAAACCCGTAGTGTAGGGTCGTTGCTGGTTTCCCTTATAGCCCACTCCGCAGCGAGATCGTTCACTTTAAGGTGCGCGAATGAATATGTTCCCCTCTTCGTATACAAACAAGGGTATTTGTCTGCGAACGTATCGTAATTCATACTCGTCAGGCTGAACTGTACAAGAGGAAACTGTCCCGCCATCTGCCCCCACGACCTGTTGGAGGTCGTGAGTCCGTCACAACCTGGGAAAATGAAGAGCACACGAATCGGGCGCCCTGCTAGCTCTTGGTAGTGTAGGATAGCCTGCTTGATCGACTCGCGGTAATGAGAGGGTTGGCTTAGCTGACCGAAGACGGTTTCCATGGAGGAGTCGTGTCCCAAAAAATACTGTAGGTATATTGGCGATGCGATTTCCATTTCCCACACGTTATTAGGATGCGCGAGTCTGGTGTGGGGCGTAGCCAGACGATTGCAGACACGGTTCCATGTGTTGTATAGCGCATCCACGTGAGCGTGCGCTTCCGTCTCTGCGTCCTGGCATGCGGAATCTTCCTTGGATCGGGGTCCGCTGGATCGCGAACAAGACAGCACGATATCGAAGGTTTCTCTAATATCGTCGGTATTGTCGTGGACATGTACGTCTGTCCCAAATAGTGCTCTTGCGTCAGGGCAGCACGCATAACTGACGGCAGGGTTGATAGTAATCGGTCTGTCTGAGCGGGTGAGAGAAGGTCGCACCTCGACTACGTCTTCGTCGATCTGTATGAGTAGACCCTTTGAGCTGCTGAAATCTCTCCATTTAGGCTCCTTTATATTGGCGGTCCTCGTAGCCGAACAACGTCTCGTCAATCTCGTGAAGAGGACGTTCGGTATCAGGCCGTCCGGCTCGTGCTCGAGAATAGCCATGATTGTGCGAAGCTTTGTGACTACGAATGCCTTTCTTTGAACGAGTATATCCATGTCGTCGGATGTCGCTCGAGCCAGTATGTCGACATAGGGCGCTGAACTGGACACGGATTTGAACGCTGAGGGGGACGCGGAGGTGGACGCGGAGGTGGGCGCGGGGGCAGCGATGATGGTACAGTATTCATCCAGAATGGCCTTGCTCCATGGTCCCACTTCAGTCGTCTCAGCCGTACGGCGCCAGAGTAATTTGGCTTTTTGTGGCGAACATCCGATCCATGGCTGGGTGATGGCGTTCGGGTCTTCCTTCTATGAAACGGTACGATGGTAGGTAGGTGTACTCAGCATACGCACTGCGTCGGGTGCACTCGACCATGTTTCTTTTCCACTCGGACCGATCGCAAAGGCGAATCCAGATGCCGGCTTCCTAGTAGCGTTGCATCGCGCGAGATCTAGCTCTTCAAACTGCACCTACGTCATCGATCCGGTAGTGCCGAGCATCAACTATATCCAACTGAAATCCATCACCATGCTTGGTATCCTTACCTCCCTCAATACCAGAGAACAAGCTTTCAGACACCATGGCACCAGGCGATAACCTACCCGATTTTCTCACGAACACCAAGCTCGACCCCAGCTTCGACAAAGACATTCTCGACACACATCTAATCTACGATTACGATGCGCAAGACAACGATGGCAACCCCGAAAAATGGCGGTACGAACTATGGTGTTTCTCTTCGGAACGTGTCGTATATGCCATCCACGGTGGTCCAATGGCTGGCCGCATCAACTACCAGCGCGCAACATACCAATGTATCCGCCCCGGCGAACTATGGCAGATCAACTGGCTCGAAGAGACAGGCAGCATCGTTTCTGCAGTCTACGACATCAAGGAGAAGAAGATGACGACGTTGATCGCCTTCTCGGAGGGCCACTGGAAGAGGGCGAAAGAGGCGCTGGGCGACAAGAGGAAGAAGGAGGATCTGGAGAGATGGAGGGGGCTGGCTGGTGTAGGAAACCAAACGTCGAGGTTCATGCTGAGCGAGCAGGCTCATGTTGTAGAAGTGTTCAAAGGCAAGGGTGAACTGGTGCCGATCAAAGAGAGCGATCCCCTGTTCTGATTGTGTACAACCGATGGACATCAACCAATGAAGCCGTTACCATGTACCATTCATCTCGCATGGTATGTCCGTTCTTGACTATGACAAAGATGTTGAACGAGACCATGATGTTGGTACCATTGCATGGCATGAGATGAGCTTTTCAAGGGATCGCAACCTGTCGGAACCATAGTGCCGGTAATGAAGTCGAAGCAACGTACCTTGCATTGCAGACTGGCAGTGCGACCATCCACGCGATGCTGTGTATCAAGCCAGTGCCACAATGTAACCGAAGCGGTGAGCCATCCTGCCACAGTTCGGCGACCTGTTCGGCGTTCTGGCATACCGTTACATGTTGTCGCAGACATCCATTACGACGCCATTCGGGTTCTCGTGCGCATGCGATACGCGTTTGTCCTCCAGACTTGGTATATTTGTGTGTATGTCTCAAGGGCTTATGACATGTGGAAACCGTCGCCCAGGACTACTCTCCATATTCCTCTGGCACTCCTCGCTTGAGTACACAAGATGCGTTACACCGAGAGAGCGGGAGGCGGAGGACAGATGTGGGAATGTCTCAATATCGCTTGGTTTCAATAAGTCAACAAAACAGTCGGATTCCGTTAGGGTCAGAAGATGCGCTCGGAGCAGTAGTAGCAAGTCTCGCTTGTGCTCCGGTGGATGCCGGGGCATTACCGACCCGGTGGTCCTTTGTTCCTATGGGATACTCAATGCTTGTGATGATCTTGGTCTTTTGGCAGGTTTCTTCAGTACGACGAAGGCTATAACGTGCTGCGGTCAGAATGTAAAGGCATTGCTGACGTTGCTCTTCAGTACGTGTCGTCATCTTTCCGAACTCTTACGTTGCTTTTGCTCGCATTCTATGGGAACATCGTGTAGTCACTTGCGACCACGTGCGGTGCTGCGGGTATCGCTGTACTGAAGAAGTAATGGATTAGTTTTCTCCTTCCGTACAGCCGGGCGAAGGCGCTGCACATGTCTGATAACGGTGTGGGGTAATGCCCGTCAGCAGCCAGGTCCCAGCGCAACGCTTCCTCGTATGCCCAGCGGGCTTCACGGCATTCCTTCAGCGCTGGGTCCTCTGGCCCTGCGTAAGATATGGGCAAGGTTTGTACCGGACGTTTCAGTCGCTTCTCGAAGACACTGAAGATCCAGGGATGGTGGTAGCGGCGCACGCCGTGGCTGTTAGCGGCATGTTGTGAGTGGTGTGTGGCTTGGTTGGACAAAGAACAGACCGCATGTTCGGAGTCCGATGCCTGCTAAGCGCCCGCAGTCTGCTGCTGTAAGGACGGTGAGACTCGTCATGCGCCATTGGGCTGGTCTTGCGCTAAGACCAGATGTGTAGAGAGATTGAGCAAACGAAAGGACTCCATGGCAATCTCCACTCACGCCATGTTAGATGATGGACGAAGGCATGCCGACAGCTCCGGGCCATCGCACGAGAGCATAACAGATGATCGGGACCGCCAAGGGCATGCAACCAACCGTGCTTTGATGCTGCAAATGAGGGAAAAGTCAAAGGGCAAAGTTAATCTTCCGATGCATTGCTCCGGCCTTGGAGTATGGAGTGTCAGTCTCGCACTACCGCATAAGCTAACCGAGCGCGGCCGTGCGTCGTGAATCCATGTCACGGTCACTTCTGGCCCCCCAGTACGCCATGTACCACAACAGCAGACAGTCGGGCGCGCGACGCTACTCGCCCATGGACTCTTATGGTGCTTCATCAGCTGCTGCCAGCCTAGCAGCTATGTCCAGCCCGCCGTCCCTCATTCCTCGTGTGCCTCCATATTCCTTTTGCTGCCTCGCGACCCCAGGCTGAATCACCACCCCGTTTCATTTCGACTTGCTTTTTACTCCTCGGTCTGGAACAAGTCGCCTTCAAATATTCGCCAGTCTGACTTTCACACCACACAAACCCCGACCATGGACCGCCCAGCACTCACATCACGGGAGCACCTGGAGCTTTTGCGAAGCTCTGCGTTTGAATCCGAACATGCCTGGCTCTACGACACTTCCTATCTGCAACATGAGGCAGCAGCGATGGCGTTGGAGCAAGAGATTGAGCAATCGCATGCCAGTATATCGCCAGACGACAACTCAGACGAGCAAGTGCGCATCATCAAGACGCAGATCAACATCCACAGGGAGAGGCAGCGGGCGCTAAGGCCGCATCTTGAAAGTGGGAGCGACCAGATCGACGAAGATGGGAACGAGTGTGTCTTTGTACCAGCGCCGAACCAATGGGGTGCGAACGGAGACTTGGACGAGGAGAGCGAGAGTCTGTCTGCAGTGAGTAGCAATTCCTGTCCACCGCTGGGTCGTGACTAACATGCCTCAGATCCACAACCTCCTTACATGGCAAACTTCATACTCGCCCGTCTCACATGCCCCGCGTGACGAACTTCCCTCTCCAAATACACCGTATCACTCGCTGCTCGACCCTCACCAGCCCACGACCACGTACAATCTCCACCGCACGCGAGAATGGACGGGATCTTCAGGCTTCAGGAAATTCATCTACAGCGCACGCGACTACTCGGATAAATACGCTCTGTACATGCTTGAAGCCACCCACCGCGACGACAGCCAAGTCAACGCTGCAGACTTCTTCCGTGTCGCCGAATACCCACAACCATGCATAAATATTCTTCTCTCTGGCATCGACAAGAAGCGCGCCATGACCAAAGACGCAGCCTACAAGTCGCGGGGCATACATCTGCGCGGGCCATTCTCACAACCGATTAAGGAATACCCAGACAGGCAACAGAAGATACCATGGTCACCGCGACGATTTAAATATGGTGGACGTCGCTTCGTGTGGAAGCAAGGAGATCCCAACGACGATGCCATGCCGGAGACTTTGTACGAATATCAGCAAGACTGGGTAAAGCCAGGAAGCAGGACGGGCAAGCGATGCGACGATGCAAAGCTGATCAAACTTGTCTGGGGAGAAAAGAGGAGGAAGGGTAAAGTGGACAGTTACACGATCCATTTCAAGGGCGGCATGGATCAAGTCTTTAGGGAGATCTTGCTGGCCAGTCAGATGGCCAGGCAGGTATGTCTCTTCACCGCGATGGACTGAAGTCGCTATCTTTCGTCGGCCAAGGTTGAAATTGTACTTGTATATAACCACACAGCGCGAGGCGTTCAAAGGGGCCGTGGAACACGGGACGGATACCATGGAACAGCATTTTGCATTCAGTTCCCAGCGGAGCTTTCTGCTATTACAGTTTACAAGGTCTTGGGAGTGGGCAGCAGGCTTCCCTACTACCTTGGACATAATTTAGGCCCAAGGGCAACACTAATCAAACTCAAATATTAGTCCTTCCATAGGGCAGCAATGCAGTCTTCCACCAGCTTCTCACTTGACAACTACTCACTTGAAAGGAATTGCAAATAACTGATTGACTTGCGTAACATATGTATGCAATTCATCTGACTCATATGAATGCCCACGTTGAAGCGAAGAGAGGGAACATCCGCAGGACCGTTACATTGTGTAAGCTGCATATGCATGCTACGCTGTAGATTAGATGACAGCCTTCCTAACATACGCCCCTTACGGTATGTTGGCACTGGTCGCATTGGCGGACCCTGCGATAATTGCATTTGGTACTTTTTGGGAATACAAAACTATGCACCATCGGCTGTGGCTGAAGTTGGTCGCAGGTGGTAATGAGCATGTTGTTTTTTGTGGCGTGGCTCTACGCGCGAAATCCAATGCACATGACCAACTTGAATACCACTAGGATAGGCAGGCTCGGATCTCTCGGAGGAATGCGATTAGGAAGGCGTGCTCATCATGCTCAGGTGGAACAACGCTCCTCCCTACCATGTCGCCTGAGCCAGCATGTAAATGCAGGCGCTGTACACCGGCGTAGGTAAATATCACGATGACTTCATCGCCAGTCATTCGTGCATGCTCTCCAAACCCATCATCGATCGCATCTCCCCACGCACTCATATCGCATTATTGGTCACAGCGTACCCACCTGTGATATTCGTTACTGATATCTTTCCTGGATCAAGGGCATCAATTCGACGTTGAAAGCTGCCAAACCCAAAATCTTACCTGCGTCTTCGGCTGACGCCCACCGCTTCGCAACAGAACCGACAACCTGTTAGCACACCCTGGTGCATACGCCACTTTCCGGGTATATCAAATCACAACTCGGAGCGTGCGATACTGCATACAACCCGACCGATCAGCACGCAACAGGGCCCACGTCCATCGCTTACAGCTTACAGCGAGGGCCAGCAACACCAACATACCGGCTTCACCGTCTCGGAAGGACCCTCGCGGAGGAAGACCCACCAGTCATGTTTGCAGATCGTAACATGGAGCTGCGAATGTCAACATACCTCTTCTGCTGCGCGTTGATCTCGCCCCCTCCTCCCTCAGACCTCCTATCAAATTACTTCACCAAGTCGCCCAAGATCACAGAGCACGGCCCTGAGTGGTCACGCTCGCGGCTGCCTTTCCTAGCCAAGACGTTCTCTGGCAAAGACGGCTGCGAGGAGTACTTCAAGCTGATGACTGATGTGCTGGACATGGCCTTGCCGGATGATGCGTTCCCGCGAGACAGCGGGTTCATTGTGGATGCAGATGCTGGGATGGTGAGTGTTGTTGGCAAAGGAAGGTTTACGAGTAAGAAGACAGGCAAGGGATGGGATGAGCAGTTCATCTATCGGTTCAGTGGGTTTGATCATGAGGGGAAGATAGGGCATTGGGAGATTTGGGCGGATCCTTTGAGTGCTTGGGAGGCTGTTGGGGAGTGAGCCTTCCCATGTCATCGTTGGAACTCGTGGATATCGAAAGACCGATTGAGGATTCGAAAGCTAGGTATATACCTTCAGCGACAAGCTTAAAATGCTAAAGATTCGAAGTTTACAGCAAATATATGGATGCAGGTGGAGCTAGCGAGTGAATGCCGTTAGCGTCTCGCTTGAATAATGTGGGTCCCCGGCGGCGGCTTCTGCAGCTTCCTCTGGGCTCTCAACTTTTCTTCATCCGCTCTTACACGCCGCCAAACCAACTCTCCAACACCATGGTGCAAGCTGCGCAAAGCCCTACAGAGCAGTGGCGCGCATCAATAGTAGCTCGCTGATTGTTCAACACTAACCTACAGCCGCTGCCTGCTGTGCTTCATTTCTCATGGTACGTTAAACATCTCCTTCTATTTACCGCATCCGCACCTTCGCGACGCGCGCGCACAGCTCAAAAGATGATATGTACATCGACCATTAAACACTTTAGGAAGAGCCGGAAAAGGTATGGCTAGCATCGACAAATGCTACGCCGTCGCTGCTTATAACTTGGTCTCTGAAGAGCATCATCAATTTCACGTTATGGAAACTGGGTTTCGAACTGTCGCTGACGATGCAAAGATTAGGTGTCTGCTATTTACGATGTCCTAAGCGACCGCTACGCACAACGCGTGACCTACACGATGCGCGATGTCGATTCGATGGTATGGAGATGACATATCGTGCGAGCAGATGTGATGACAAGGGCACAATGCGACATCTCGAGAGATGGGCATGGCATACTATGTATTGACGCTACGGAGGCTACGTCTGCAGAGTACTGCTTGCGCTATCGCTGTCGAATAAGGCCGCGGCATCCAACTCGAGTGTGGAGACGGACGGCCTCGCCTTCTCGTACAAGCCCATAGTGTCTGGCAACCCTAGGAAGGGGTCGGCAAGGTTGTCGCAACCGGCAGGCCACGAGACCGATTGGCCGAACGCATAGCTGTCGCTCCAAGACTGGATAAAGTTTGTCATGTCAAAGTCGAGATCGGGATTGATCATAGAGGGTTGCCCTTCGAGCACGGCGAGATCATCCGTGTTGAGGGCACTTGAGTCCGTACCCAAGTCGACTAGATCATTGAAATCGAACGTATCCCAATCCCAGGATTGATTACTTCCATGTGCTGCTGTCGCCAATGTCGATTGCGTGCTGGGGCTGTTGCGCTCGTTCGCCTTTCTCTTTGCGTATTCCTTCGGCGTCAACCCCGTCTTGTCCTTGAAGATCTTGTGGAAGTACCGCGGCGTGAGGTTGACCTTCTTGGCTAGATCTTGCAGTCTCAATGCGCTGGCGTCCTCGTTCTTCAAGGCCTCTTCAATCAATATACATGCTTTCTCCACCGCTCGCTCCTGTGGATCTTCGAGTACGGTGTTGGGCTTGCATCTCTTGCAGGCCCTGAACCCAGCTGCCTCTGCTTCTAACGGTGTCGCATAGAATCCGACATTTGCTCTACGCGCTAGTCGGCCCGGACATGTTGGTCGACAGTATATTCGGGTGGATTTGACGGAGTAAATGAAGTGCCCATTCGCGTCTGCGTCTCGTGTCGAAAGGGCTCGCCACCGTGCAGCGTCAGTCGCATAGGCCATGGTATATGATTCTCACAAGAGGGCTACGTAATTAGCATGAATTATATTCTCGCAGCGATGGTGCGCAAAGTATACCTTCTATGTTGTACACCTAGAGATGTTTCCAGACAGCAAGAAAGTCTGAAGCTCAACAACGCGAATGTACAGCAAGCCCAAATTTGTCCTGCGTGAAACTCATATGGCAAAAAATAGTCAGTCAGATACGTGCAGCGACAGTAATCGCGGCAACGGGCCCTCTTAAGAGCTCTGGAAGTCTTCCCGCACCCCAAGGCTATCTACGCTGTGATTGGATACTTTGAGAGCCAGTTCGAGAGCACGCGATGACGCACGCTAAACTCATCTCCATGAACACCTAAACATCGCGTATAAACACGCGATTCACGCAGCGTTTCTTACATCGCAAAGACAGATGTAGACGAGATGAGTGCGCACGCGAAGCAGTCGGCGCGTCGCGTCGGGCTCTTTCCACGTCGGACGCGACTTCGGTAAAAGAGGTAGGCACGATGGAGGCACCACTACCAAATCATGAGTCTCACTCGGGTTCAATCTTCTGTCACCGATGGGACCCCCGCAAGTTCATTCTCGCTCCTACCAGCATGGCGGAAGGCCTCGACAGTGTTGCGGTACCCAGCATCGCGGCTCTCCCACCAACGACAACGCGACAGATCGGTTCCGGGCAGGTCCTCGTCGATCCTAGTTCCGTCGTCAAGGAACTCATAGACAACGCTCTAGATGCGCGAGCGAAGAGCATATTTGTGGATATCACTGCTAACACGGTCGACTCTATCCAAGTCAAAGATGATGGCCATGGTATACCAGCTGAAGACCGCCCTCTCGTATGTCGCCGCTACTGTACCAGCAAAATTCGAGACCTTCACGACCTGAGAGAAGTCGGAGGGAAATGGCTGGGCTTTCGTGGTGAGGCACTATCAAGCATGGCCGACATGAGTGGCTCGCTCTCTGTCACTACTCGAGTAGAAGGAGAGCCAGTCGCTGTCAAGCTGAAGTATGATCGGAACGGCGAGCTGACTTCGTAAGAAATCAATGGTAGTCTCACGGATAGCTATCACGGACTAATGTATGCAGCACTGAACACGACTCCCATCCAGTTGGTACGACGGTCAAGGTTACCAAGTTCTTCGACTTCGTACCCGTCCGAAAAGAGACGGCGATCAAGAATTCAGCGAAAGTGCTTGCCAAGATCCGGCGGCTGATGCAAGCCTATGCACTGGCCAGGCCTACTATACGCTTCAGGCTTCGCGTACTGAAAGCGAAGAACAGCAATGGTGACTTCGTCTATGCGCCAAAGGCCGACGCCAACGTTGAAGACGCAGTTCTAAAAGTCATTGGTAAGGACTGCGCTCTACAGTGTGATTGGACTGCATTGGAGGCCAATGGCTTCGAGGTTCATGCTTTCCTGCCCAAGCCAGGTGCAAGCGGATCGAAGATAGCTCATCAAGGGGCGTTCGTCTCGATCGATGCAAGGCCTGTGTCGAACAGTCGTGGTACTATCAAGCGGATCATCGCAACTTACAAGGAACGACTCCGCAAATCAGCGCCTTCGCTGGCTGGCGTCAAGGATCCGTTCTTCTGCATGAACATCATTTGCCCGCCTGACAGTTACGACCCCAACATCGAGCCAGCCAAAGACGACGTTATGTTCGATAACAGCGAAGTGGTTGTTGCGGTTGTGGATAAGCTACTCAAAGCTTACTATCCTGAGGCTATCCAGGCTATCCAAGATATTCAGGATGCTGAGATGCCGACATCTGCACAACAACAGTATGAGCCTCAATTTGAGGAACTACCGAGTCGCGTCGAAAGCTCCATCACGATACATGAGGATGAGCCTGCAAACCGGAATGAGCAACCCACGACTGATCCAGCTCAGGCGCTGCCACGCTGGAGGTCAAGCATGTATGGTATTGATGAGGACGACCTTGAGTTTCTGCAAGAAAACCCAGCACCTGTGGTCGAAGAGGAAGATGAGAAGGGTCTACGCGCAGTGGAAGTGTCTAATCCATGGACCATTGCTCGAATGAACACTACGATCAAGCCCAAACAAGCTGCGAGCAACGAACAGCTGCTGAGCCCGGCCAAAAGCCAGAGAGGGAGCGACGCGCATGTCCTCTCTCCCAGTCCTGCTGTTACTCCACGTCGTCCATTGTCAGCGGCGCCCTTAACACCTCAGACGTTGTCAAAGACGAACATGAGGTCTTCTTTGGATGCTGAACTGGAGCGTAGTATCCATCATATGCCGGACCTCAGTTCAGATGCTGGTGCTCTCGACGATAGGACACAAGAGCGGGATACGGACAGTCGAGATTGTCACGAGCGTCTCGGTGCTCCGTCGCAGAACGCCTTATCGAGCCATTTTGCACGATCTGACATCAACTCCATCAAGTCAGGACTCACGGACTACAACCAGATCGAAAAGGGCTCACAGCGGTTGACCTCTCCAGTAATGTCAGCTCCTCGTAACCGCCGCACTCAACCGGCCTATGTAAATACACCAATTGCACCACCAAAGCAAAGGTCAAATGGTATGGGGCTTGGAGAATATGTACTTGGCACACAAGCTCTCGAACCAGCTCGTCGGCAGAAGCAGGCCAAGAAGATGGGAGGATCGCCATTCTCTAACAACGCCTCATCTTCTCCAAGCAGACCCGTGTTGGACCCAGCAGACCGGCTAGTCGCTAGACAACTTCATTCAAACGACAACACTGATATCCGTAACTTCTTTGCGCGCGGCAGAGATAAGGGCACAAGTGATTCGCTGGTTGACGGTCTTTCTCGAGCTTCCTCAGCGGAACCGCAGTCCCGCTCAAAGCGCATCAGAAATTCTTCACTGGTCAACGATGACGTTCAGATGAATACTGATTCGCGAAGAGTGGCCGACCAATTTCAAGCAGTTGCTGAACCTGAAGATCGACCCCTTGGGCTTCAGATATCTACCCGAATCTCAAAGCCTCCAGAGACGCACCGTCCCGACCAAAGCACCAAAGAGATGGAAGCATATTTCAAAACGCAAGTACAGCAACACTCCAGCTCCCCATCCCGCTCCCAAAAAGCATCTCAAAGGCAAGAACCTCGCATCGCACCACCCCACGAAACATCAAAGAAACCGCATCGACTCAGACGCCGCACAACAGACGCTCTCGAGCGTACCAAGTCCTCCAAACTCCCCTTGGAGCGCACACCCGATGGCTTCCAGATCCAAGACCTAATTCTCCACCTTCCAGCCAGCATCGACACCATCGTACAAAGCTCGCGTAAACTCGACATGCAGCGCAACAGTCCAGAGTGGGGTTACGCGTCGGAAAGCGCATACGACGTGTTCGGCGAGCCGGTGTTTGAAAAGAAGATCATGGAGTGGGTGGTTACGTTGGATGCACTGTTGTGTCAGCGGTATGAGAGGGTCGATGGACCGGATGCGCGGTGTGAGTTGCATGAGGGGATTCAGCGGGCGCTTGATGCGAGGAAGGAGGCGGATGATGTTACGCAGAGGGAGGAGAGTATAGGTCAAGACGTACGACGCGCTGCAGGCGAGAGAATCGAACATGATGTCTCGATGGATTTCGGTGGTGCTTCTGGCGTCGTGGTTCAGCAGCCTGTCGTCGAGGAAGAGAAGAAGGTGCAAGATGACTGCGAGTTCGATTTCGATATGGAGGAGTTTGTTGATCTGACGGGAGGGGACGGGAGACAGAACCTGTCCATAGCTGGTCAAGAGAACGTGGAAGAGGATAAAGTAAAGGGAGAGTTTGATGACGATATCGAGGATGAGATGTTGATGGACTTGTAGAGTATGTGGGGGAGAGCGACGTGATGGACAAAGAAGACTCGGTTTCAATTTACCCTCAACGTAGAAGGCGTGTCCAAGCAGGAAGAGCATCTACTGCCTCCGTAATTGGCCGATATTGTGACATAATCTACGATCCATGACATGTCATCTCATCCCACCACTGATCATCTGCAGAGAATCCTCATACCTCCCTAAAAGCAACCTCTTCAGGCAACCTAAAACTAGCACAGAACATCCTCTTCTTGGGCGCCACATCTCTCACATCATACACGTTCACATCCTCCATATCGGGTGTGATCACGGTACCCAATTGCCTGCTAACCTCTTCGCAAATGCCCTTGATCTCCCCTACATTATCATCGCTCTTGGTCGAGAAGCAGTGTACATGGATCATAGGCAATTTCTGCGAAGTGTGCGGCGCGAGGAGTTTCTTGATCTCAGAGACTGGGTATCCGGGGACGTTGGCGTAAAGACCAATGAAGGAGGGGAGGAAGGTAATGGCGGAGGCGGGGAGGTTCATGACGTAGTGCGAAAAGAAGCGTGGTTGGACGAGTGTCTTGAGGGGTTCAGGCTGCTTCTTCTCTTCTGGTTTGCTGCGAGAGGATTTGGTTTTGGGGTAGATAGACACGGAGTGCTCGTCGCTTGTCAATAGATCCGCGGAGGCTTGACGGATAAAGGCCCCACCATCGGTGTTGAAGGAACGGACAAAGTCGCCTACTTTGTTGATCTTGATGTTGCCGACGAGCGAGTTGTAGGATTCGGGGTTGAGGTCGTTGGCCCAGACGAAGCACTTCTTCTTGCCTGCGGGTATGGCAAAGGGTCCTACGCCAGCCATGACATCGCAGATTGCCTCGCCTTCGCGGAACATGTTGCAGAGCCGCTCGTGCTCCGTGTGCAGACGCGTGTTCCAGTATACTTTGGCGAAGTCGAATTTGAAGGTGCAGCCCTGCTCGCGCAGTTCGACGTTCATGTCGTCTGGGCCGTGGAGCACTTCGTACTGGAAGGTGCGGAATGCGTTCTCGGTGCCTACATTGTCGAGCTTGTTGATGACTGTCTTGACCATGGGGTTCTTGTCGGCGAGGACGGTTGCAATGAGGTGCTTGTAGGGCCAGTACCGTTCGCGGAGATTCAGGTGGGCGACGTGGCCGGCGAGGGCGAAACCTTGGGGTATCTCATCGTCGTGGACGGACTCGGGTGGGGGAATGGTTGCGCTCGTGATCTCGGAGTAGGTGAAGTAGTCGTAGTTGAGCTGCAGCTGGTAAGGTATGACGCCTAGGGTGCCATCTTGCTCGAGATCGCGCAGCTTAGGGGACCAGGTCGTCCGATCTGCCTGGTTTCAGACTCAGTACTCCCATGTACTACCGCCGTGGGGTGACTCACCGGAGTGGACGACTTCTGGTCGCAGGAGCAGGCATTTGCTGCCTTTGGACGCTTGTTCTGAATCGGGGTCGACTCTTATCGGATCTATGCGATTACTTGGCAGCGTGTCCTTGCTGGCGGTGAGTTCCTTGCGGCAGCGCGATATGTCCTTGGGGCTGAAGATGCGGGCGGCCGAGGTGGGGATGGTCTTTTGGAAGAAGCTGCGGTCCAGCACCTTCATGGCGCGGTTTACGGGGGGCGCGAACATGTCGGTGGTCGCTTCTGTGGCCGACATTGAATCGTGGGCGCGTGGGGAATTGGTGTCGCGTGGGTGTGTCGCGGCTGGGGAATTATTTTTTGGTGAGGGATGACGCAGGCACCGTTAGGATGACCCCAGCATGGCACATGTCAGGTACCGACCGTGGACCGCTTTGGGCGCGACCCTCGAGACGTGAAAGACATATGCTGGAGTAATCAACTTTAATCCGTCTCGACTGCGTGCAGCGTGTCAGTGTCTTGAACGGCGTCAGGGTCCGCTGCACAGGTGACGACAGGCCAGTCCAAGCGCAGTGGTCGGCTGCAGGGGTTGGACACCAGGATCGCGTACCTAATCTTGCACCTGCGTGGTCAATCAACAAAACAACTTCGCCGTAGCACCGCCTCCTGAGCCGTGGATGACCGCGACCGCGCCCTCGCCCTCGCCCGTCCACCGTCGTCGCCGCCCATGAAGTCTCCCGGATCCCGCGTCTGACCGCTGCATAGACCGAGCGGCCCGTTGCCATCTCCTTTGTCCGCATACCCCGGATTCCGACCACGAACAAAGTTACCGCGCCCACCATGGCGTCTGGCGGAGGAAACATCAAGGTCGTGGTGCGATGCAGGCCCTTCAACGGCCGAGGTAGGCAGCCCCCTTGCGTTACTAAGGCGCTGCAACTAACAACGCGCAGAGAAGGCGCGCAATGCACAGTGTATCGTGCAGATGAAGGGCGACCAGACCATTCTCTCCCCTCCCCAACATGCCGATATCAAGGGGAAAGCCGCAAAAGCCGCCTCCGAGGGCACCAAGACATTCGCCTTCGACAGATCCTACTGGTCTTTCGACCGCGACGCTCCCAACTATGCCGGCCAGGACAACCTCCACGAGGATCTTGGCAAGCCGCTGCTCGACAATGCCTTCCAGGGCTACAACAACTGTATCTTCGCCTACGGCCAGACGGGTTCGGGAAAGTCGTACTCCATGATGGGCTATGGCGCTGAGTACGGAATCATCCCCAAGATTTGCCAGGACATGTTCGAGAGGATCAAGGGGCTACAAGCGGACAAGAACTCGTCCTGCACCGTCGAAGTGTCCTACCTGGAAATCTACAACGAGCGCGTACGCGACCTGCTGAACCCGTCGAATAAAGGGAACCTGCGAGTTCGCGAGCATCCGTCCACCGGTCCCTATGTCGAAGATCTCGCCAAGTTGGTCGTCCAGTCCTTTCCCGAAATCGAGAACCTCATGGACGAGGGAAACAAGGCCCGTACCGTAGCTGCCACCAACATGAACGAGACGTCCTCGCGATCGCACGCCGTCTTCACCCTTACCCTCACCCAGAAGCGCCACGATGTCGAGACGAGCATGAGCGGAGAGAGGGTTGCCAAGATCAGTTTGGTCGATTTGGCCGGATCAGAACGAGCTCAGTCGACGGGTGCGACTGGCGCGCGATTGAAAGAAGGTGCCGAGATCAACAGGTCTTTGTCGACACTGGGTCGTGTCATTGCAGCGCTCGCAGACCAGTCGTCGGGAGGCAAGAAGAAGGGTACCCAAGTGCCATACCGAGACTCCATCTTGACATGGCTCTTGAAAGACTCTTTGGGAGGAAACAGTATGACAGCCATGATTGCTGCCATCTCTCCGGCCGACATCAACTTCGAGGAGACCCTCTCCACCCTCCGCTACGCCGACTCCGCGAAACGCATCAAGAACCACGCTGTCGTAAACGAAGACCCGAACGCGCGCATGATCCGAGAGCTCAAGGAAGAACTGTCAAAACTGCGGACTCAGCTGGGTGGAGGAGGCGGTGGAGTTGCCGGAGCGAATGGCATCATAGAAGAACAGTACGCACCCGATACACCATTGGAAAAGCAGATCGTTTCCATCACACAAGCAGACGGTTCGATCAAGAAGGTGTCCAAGGCCGAGATTGCAGAGCAGCTTGATCAATCAGAGAAACTCTATACCGAGTTGAACCAAACTTGGGAAGAGAAGCTGCAGAAGACGGAAGAAATCCACAAGGAACGAGAAGCCGCGCTGGAAGAACTTGGTATCAGCATCGAAAAAGGTTTCGTTGGTCTGTCAACACCAAAGAACATGCCTCATTTGGTCAACTTGAGTGATGATCCACTCTTGACTGAATGCCTCGTCTACAACCTAAAACCGGGCACGACGACCGTTGGCAATTCTGATGTTGAAGGCCAAACCGCACAAATACGTCTGAATGGCTCACAGATTCTTGCCGAACACTGTCACTTCGAAAACGTGGACGGCAAGGTGACGGTGATACCTCAGGAAACCGCTAGTGTCATGGTCAATGGTGTACGCATCGACAAGCCAAGGTTACTCAAGAGCGGCCACCGCATCATCCTTGGCGACTTCCACATCTTCCGCTTCAACAACCCGCAAGAGGCAAGAGCTGAGCGTGCTGAAGTAGGAACAAGCCTACTTCGACAGACGGTTACCGCCAGCCAGCTCAACTCCCCCTCGCCTGCACCAAGACCCGGTCACGACAGGTCGTACAGCGCCATCAGCATCGCAAACTCTGACTTCGACCCTGATAGTCCAAGGGCAGGATCGCCTGCATTCTGGCAACGCGGCCGTGAATCCGAGTTCTCCTACGCGCGCAGAGAAGCTCTTACGGCGTGGCTGGGACCAGACAAACGCATCGAAAATCTGCCAGACGAAGACTTTGAGGCTCTCTTCGAAGATCTCAGCAGGTTGCGCGAAACCCGAAAAGCACGTCCCGAGAGTCGCATCTTCAGCGACGAGGATACAGAGTCGATGTCCTCATATCCTGTACGAGAGAAGTACGCTTCTGGAGGGACGCTAGACAACTTCTCGCTCGATACCATGTTGACGATGCCATCTACGCCTAGGCAAGACGGTAGCGAAAAGATGGAGGAGATACGAGAAGACATGGAAGAGAAGATGGACAAGCGAAAAGAGGACTACAGTGCCAAGCTGAAAGCTGACGCAGAAGCTAAGGTCGAGCTGGAAGAGCTGCGGGCTGCGAAAGAAGCAATGCAGAAGCAGCTACAACAGCAGAAAGAGGCTTTTGCACGTCAAATGAAAGAGCTTGGCCACGAGTGGGTACCTGAAAGCAGCGGATCCCCGGAAGCCGAAGCTGAACCGGAAGCTGAAGCAAACAATGCACACAACGAGCAAAATGAGCAGCAACTGGAGTTGATCCGGACTGTTTTCAAACAGTGGCGGCGAAGAAAGTACGTCACAATGGCCGAGACGCTTTTGCAGAATGCCGCTGTTCTGAAGGAGGCTCAAGTTATGAGTCAGCAGATGGACAAGCGCGTGGTCTTCCAATTCTGCATTGTCGATATCGGGCATACCGTCCCGTCATCTTACGACTTGGTGAACATGGGCATTC